AAAAAATCATAAATTCAAAAAGTTGTAATTATAAAAGATTTTAAGGAGCCATAAAAAACAAAATATTGAGAAGCCATAGAAATGCTTAAATTTTAAGAAGCCATAGAAATGTTTAAATTTGCGAAGCCATAGAAATGCAAACATTTTAAGAAGCCATAGAAATGCAAAAATTTTAAGAAGCCATAGAAATGTATAAATTTGCGAAGCCATAGAAATGCAAAAATTTTAAGAAGCCATAGAAATGCATTGGTTCATTTTAGAAGATTCCATGCCGGGACTTGGCGTTAAAGTCTCTCTCGTATAACTAAAAATTAAGAAGTAAATCGTTCTTTGATTCAAATATTTTTAAAAAATACATTATTTGATATTTTGCTTATTTGATAAAATCAAAAATACTTTTAGCATAGTAATTTGTAAACCTGCTTCAATCTTGTGTCATTATTTTTCCGGTTGATATCTAGTGTTTTAAATTCTTATATGTATAACTTAGTGTGGACATCAATGGGTTAATGATATAAAAATTATTATTTTCCAATGACAAATATGTCTATTAGCTCCAAATTTTAAAGGTAGGTTAATTATGTTACTTTGACACACTTTTATATAAATCAACCTAATTAAACAACAGATAACTCCTCAGAACAGGTGTATAGGGAAATTTATTTACANAATTAAACAACAGATAACTCCTCAGAACAGGTGTATAGGGAAATTTATTTACAATGAACCATTTAATTAATCTAAAAATAAAAATAATATTGACAATTTTTTCAATGGTATTTTTTAGTTCCATTTTTTTCTAAATTGCATGAAGTTTTGTAAATTTTTATTTCTCAGAATATTAACTTAATGTTTTCAAATAGAAACATACATAATAAACTAATCTATTTGTTAATGATCTAATAATTAAATGTCCAGTTGATAATAACTTTTGAACTAGTATTTTAAAATTATTAATAATTTAAAGTAATAAATGGATACGAAACGCGGATGCTGCTATATTTATCACAAGATATTTTTCCCTCGTTAATCCTAACGTCAATTTTCAGTAATGTTTACGAAAGTCAATAATGTAAATGTAAAATTTAAAAAATAAACAAGTAAAAAATTGAATAAGTTGAAATTTTTAAAAATATAATATTTTGTTATACGGTCAGCAGAATAACAAAGACTTTATGTGATTATTTACTGCTGTTTAGGTTGTTATCGATCAATTAAGAGACTAGGCAATCAAAGATTAGGCATGCAGTCAGTTATCTTTGTAGAAAACTTTCGCCCGGATAACAAGAAACCTGAGAGTTTGACTCTTGTTCGTTGGTATATTTTTTCTCAGTTTCCTAGTTTCTAACAAGGTCAAGTAATTTAAATATTTTATTAAAAATATATTTAAATAAAACGTTTATAAAGTTATTCCCTCAAGCATGTATTTACAGATCAAGAATTTCTAGTACTTACCAAAATTGAAATTTATCTATGACCAGACATCTTATCGCAGCCACAGACGAAAATATTTAATTTTAATTTTTAATAATCAATAAAATGAAAACATATTATTTGTAAAATACAAATAAAAATAATTTAATTTAAATGCGTATAAATTTTATCATATAATAAAACTTTGAAAAATTTGCCAATGCTGGAAAATTACTTAACAACCACTGATTATAAAAACATATTTTAAATGACAAATGATGACATTGCCCTGAGGAAAAATACCTGATTTCTTCAAACAGGTGTTTAATACAAAAATATTAAAAATAATGAACATACAATAAAAACAAATGAATTAAAACAAAGTTTACATTAATATAGTTCAATTAACTCATTTTATTGGATTTTCATTATAAACATAAATTACTTAAATGATTTTAAATATAATTATTTGACATAAACGTATGATAATATAATTTAATATAATATTGTAAACAATGAATTTCGTAATGTATATAAAAATAACTTTTTACATAAATAAGTGAAAATTAAAGGATGCCTAAAAAAATGTATGAACTTTGAATATTATTTTACTATTTTAAAATTGCGCTTTCCCCTATACGCCGAGCTCTACGGATTTCATGCACCTTTTTTTTATTATTAAATTTTTTACTATATTTTTGTTACAATGATTTTGAGGTAATATATCTTGTGCAAAACACTTATCGTGCTTCTACTAGATTCTATCCGCAAAGACGTATCAAAGGACCTAATATGCCTGAGGTTCGTAAAGCATCGGGCCTGAGGTGGATCTTAGTGATAAAAATAATTAAATGGTTTTAAATAAATAAGTGCTGTTTTGGTTGATCTTTTAGAGTGTGTATTGATAAATATAGTTGGTTTTTGTACAAAAAATAATTCAGTTATGTAAGAAAAAGTTAAAAATTTAATCAACTTTTTAGCTAAAAACTGAAGTTAGTCTTGAAAATTAACTTAAAAAGTTAAATTTTAGGAAGTAAAGTTTCATTTTGCTGTTTTAACTCCTGAAAATGAAATTATGGTTAATAATAGTTATTAATTAATAAAAAACAACTTTGTTTTACTCTTTACCTATAATGTAACTTATTTTTGTTAATTGCATTTTATCTCTCATTGTTAATAAATTCAAAGTAATTAAAACAGCTAGGGCTGTGCCTATAGAAATCTGATATGATATACAGGGTGATTTTTTTATCATAACCCACTCAATTACTTGCAGAATAATAATAATTTAAACATTTTTTTTTATTATTATCTTTAGTTACACATTATTCTTGAATTTTTAACTATGTAATACTTTTTAAGTTTATCCCTTATGCCTTGGAGGGGGGTCAACTTTGTTTTTTTAAATGGTAACACAAATTTTTAATTTAATAAAATGTTTGAGTTTTTAATTTAATAGTAAATGGCATTTGAATTTTTAATATAACTTAATTCATTTATTAGATATAAACATTAAATGTTTCAAAATTTTGAGTTAATATACATGTATAATACACATGGGATTGTAAATACAGGTAGCTAATTGGATTTTTATGACATTGCTGTCTCAGTCACGGATTGTTTATTATCAATTATGATTATCAATAGATATACTTTCTGTATTGTCAGTTGGTGTATTTATAAACTCATAACAATGTGCCTTACTACAATTGATAATAACAATGCTGTGTATCTGCTAATATCGATGTTATAAAAAACCAATTAGCTACCT